CGTGTTTTACATTACAAGGAAATTATACATGGCATGTTTGGCCTTTTTTAATTGATACATTATATTTTGAAGAACATTTGGTTGTTTCTCTCGCCAATTCATTCATTCTACATATATGATAACATGCACATGTATAGCTGGCGAAGAGATTGCTTAAATTTTTTATACTGGAGGCTAGTACAAAGTTGATCCCCCTTTCTTTATTCAAGATATCAAGATGTTAAAAGTGCATAAAGTAGTTTTTAACAAATTCCATTTCTAACCACCTCAGCTGTAATTTGTTAAGTGTTCATAAGCCACTTTAAACAAAATGATACGTATACAGAGAAATAGAAGAAGATAATTACCTCCTTTTGTTTGCTTAGAATTGCACCAGAATTGTGTAATATAGCTGCTCCTTTGTTTAATAGGCTTGGTCTTAAAATTCATTTCTTATGAATGAAAAGCTAAGAATCTTTTGTAGTAGCATTATTGGACAAACAATTGACGTTGGGCAGGGAGGGATGAGCAGGAAGGGGTTACATAAGCCGAGTAATGTAGTGCCTTATTCCAGCTGCTTATTAAAATCACTTTCATTTTCTATGAAGAAATGATATCTCTGTCACTACCGCCATGGGTGAATCTGATTTGGAAAAAACACCATGGATAGTTCTTGATACCCTTGGAATTCCCTCAATGTAAGTTGTACTGACACTTCGTGTAAGTACAGTCTAGATGTTGGGATTATAGGGCAACATTGAACTAAAAAAAGGGATTATTTGGTGATTCATAGATCAGGCTTGAACTTTTTTGGAAACCAATTTTGATTACAATTTTTCTCATTATATTTATGTGAAAAAATACATTTTATTTTTTTTTAAAATTTAGGAATAAATACATTTTATGGATCACTTTAGATCATTAAATTTTATGTTTTGGAATGAAGTGTGACATATTTCAAAGCACATGTTCCCAATCTCCAAACCAAAATCTCTAGAATAGTAATATATTATAATCTAATAACACAAGGAATATAAAATCTATTAGGGTGTGAATGCTTGATTGATAGGCTCACTATTCTCTTCCAATAATGAACCTTCATCAATCCTCTGCTTATTGTTCTTCTTTCTGTAATGATTCTTTAGGTCATATTCTATTTGTCTCATCAACTAATGCATACTGTATAGTTTGTTTACACAAAACACATTTCAAAACTAGATTTCTAGCTATACTCTTATGGTTTCGAATATTGCATATTTCATATTTGTTCATAATTGTTTCCTTCCTTCAAGGACTTGTCTTACTACCGAGGAGTGCCTCTTAATAAAAACAGGAACCCTCATTTGACTAAAGAGCTAGTTGAGGATGAACTTAAAGCATATCTTGGAGTCAAGAAGATTATTTGGTTGCCTCATGGATTATTTGGTACCCATTCACCTTGAATTTAAGCACAATGTATAAATATTTTGCACTAAAATTTGAGATGCCTTTCCTGTATATTTCATCCATATTTTTTGGTCCACCTGGCAATCTAGATATTTCTTTAATTTGGTTGGTCTATGTGGCTATTTTTCTCATCAGGATGATGATGAAGCATTCTCATTCTTAAAAATGATGCGTTGGTGTGCAATTATGCATACGAACATGAAATTAATGTTGTATAGAGAGTTTCTGCTGAAACTGTAGTTCTAGGATTTGAACTTCAATAAGAGTTTAACTCTGCAATTTTTGCATTTTTTTGGGTAGGTGTTGTGATGATCAGTAACTTGAATTGCAACCTAGTCCTTCGAGCAATGGGCTCATGCCAAGTGCTTGACTTTTTGCATATCGAGAAAGATATAAATCATAGGGCTTTATTTTTTTGAAAATTTCAAGCCCAGGCTGCTGCTTATGTTATATGGTATGAAAAGTTGTGTGTTCTGATGTTGATACCTAGAACTTAGAAGGGATACAAAATTCTGAAGTTAAATATAGACAAACCTGATATTTTCGTTTCCCTTGTAAGTTGTCTAAACTTACGGAACTAGCACGGGACTCCTAGTTTGAAAACTAAGTCAAAAATGCACTTTTTTCACACTTAAGCTTGAATATAGGCCATCGGGGGCCAAAATCGTGTAACAGTCACAGAAGGCCCGGGGAACAGCTCAGACACCTCGGGAGGGACCAATGTAAGTTGTGAAAACTTACGGAACTAGAACGGGACTCCGCTTTGAATACTAAGTCGAAAAAGAATTTTTTTTCACAATTAAGCTCGAAAATAGGCCATCGGTTGCCAAAATGTGTAACAGTCACGAGAAGGACCGTGGAATACCTCAAACACCTTGGGAGGGACCAATCTAAGTTGTGGAAACTTCCGGAACAAGCACGGGACTCGCGGTTTGAAAACTAAGTAAAAAATACACTTTTCTAGCACTTAAGCCTGAAAAGAGGCCATCGGGCACCAAAATCGTGTAACAGTCACGAGAAGACCCTAGGAAACCTCAAACACCTCGGGCGGGACCAACGTGAGTTGCGAAAACTTACGGTACTAGCACAGGACTTCCGATTTGAAAACTAAGTCAAAGAGACACTTTTTTCACACTTAAGTTTAAAAATAGTCCATCGGGTGCCAAAATCGTGTAACAGTCACGAGAAGGATCGGGAATGCCTCAAACTAGCCAGGATTTGAAAACTAACTGAAAAAATGCACTTTTTCACACTTAAGCTTGAAAATAGGCCTTCACGGACCAAAATCGTGTAACAGTACGAGAACGCCTCAAAAACACCTCGGGAGGGACCAATGTAAGTTGTGGAAACTTACGGAAGTAGCACGGGACTCCTGGTTCGAAAACTAAGTCAAAAATTGCACTTTTTTTACACTTAAGCATGAAAATTAGCCATCGGGGTGCCAATGTCGTGTAACAGTCACGAGATGGCCGGGGGAACCCCTCAAACACCTTAGAAGGGACCAATTTAAGTTGCGAAAACTTACAGAATTATCAAGGGATTCCTAGTTTGAAAACTAAGTCCAAAAAGACACTTTTCTCACACTTAAGAATGAAAATAGGCCAAAATTGGGGGTCAAAATCGGGTAACTGTCTCGAGAAGGCCTGGGCAACACACATCAACCACCTCGGAGGGTCCAATGTAAGTTGTCTAAACTTACGGAACTAGCACGGGACTCTAGTTTGAAAACTAAGTCCAAAAATGCACTTTTTTCACACTTAAGCTTGAATATAGGCCACGGGGGCCAAAATCGTGTAACAGTCACGAGAAGGCCCGGGGAACAGCTCAGACACCTCGGGAGGGACCAATGTAAGTTGTGAAAACTTACGGAACTAGAACGGAACTACCGCTTTGAATACTAAGTCGAAAAGAACATTTTTTTCACAATTAAGCTCGAAAATAGGCATCGGTTGCCAAAACTGTGTAACAGTCACGAGAAGGACCGTGGAATACCTCAAACACCTTGGGAGGGACCAATCTAAGTTGTGGAAACTTCCGGAACAAGCACGGGACTCGCGTTTGAAAACTAAGTAAAAAATACACTTTTCTAGCACTTAAGCCTGAAAAGAGGCCATCGGGCACCAAAATCGTGTAACAGTCACGAGAAGACCCTAGGAAAACCTCAAACACCTCGGGCGGGACAACGTGAGTTGGAAAACTTACGGTACTAGCACAGGACTTCCGATTTGAAAACTAAGTCGAAAGAGACACTTTTTTTCACACTTAAGCTAAAAATAGTCCATCGGGTGCCAAAATCGTGTAACAGTCACAGAAGGATCGGGAATGCCTGAAACACCGCAGGAGTGGCCAATGTACGTTGTGCAAACTTTCAGAACTGGCACGGGATTCACGTTTGAAAACTAACTGAAAAAATGCACTTTTTCACACTTAAGCTTGAAAATAGGCCTTCACGGACCAAAATCGTGTAAAGTCACGAGAAGGCCTGGGGAACGCCTCAAAACACCTCGGGAGGGACCAATGTAAGTTGTGAAACTTACGGAAGTAGCACGGGACTCCTGGTTCGAAAACTAAGTCAAAAATTGCACTTTTTTTACATTTAAGCATGAAAAATTAGCCATCGGGGTGCCAATGTCGTGTAACAGTCACGAGATGGCCGGGGAACCCCTCAAACACCTTAGAAGGGACCAATTTAAGTTGCGAAAACTTACAGAATTATCAAGGGATTCCTAGTTTGAAAACTAAGTCCAAAAGACACTTTTCTCACACTT